CCTATCCCCCTGTGTGCCTTGCCTCCCACGACTATATATATAAAAATTCTTTCCAACGCCTATAGACGAAAATGAATAGTGATTTCACCTACCCTCATCACCGTCCAAATTTCATCGCGCGGCATGATTATCTAGTAGTGTTTTATTATTCAGTTTTTTCTATAAATCGGAATGACCTAAAATTTGGAGTCATTGAGGCGTATCTAATAAAAATATAAAAAAAATTATCTGTAAATTAAATTGATCAAAATACCCCTGAAAAGATTTGGGGGTATTTTGGTCAATTTTTCTTATGTAAATTTTTTTTTATATAATTTTTGAAGATTCCCCTATTACTAATGAATACACCCTCCAAATTTCAGATCATTCTGATTTGTAAAAAAAAAAAATGAAAAATAAAACACTATCGGATAATCGTGACTGCACGATGAACTTTGGACGGTGATGGAGGTAGATGAAATCACTGTGATTTTTCGCTTATAGACGTTGCGTAGTGTTTTATATATATATATAATAATAAAATAGGTTTTAGGAAATTAATTAAATCGAATGGGAGAAGTATATACCTCAAAAGTATATATATGGGTGTCGTTTGTATAAAGCTGAGGCACTAAACAATCAAAGTAATGTGTACCTTGAAATAGTGTTGGAAGATGTAATTTTAGCACTGGAACCCTTCGTGATGGCGTTAAAATTTATTTTCATCTCTAATTATAAAATTTAAAACTCAAAAAATAGTGTAAATCGAGTAGATCTAGAACACTTGATAATCTTAAAATTTGACTGTCCACAAAAAGCATTAGAAGATACATTGTTTTCAAGACTTGAAATCTCATGTTCATACATTTTAAGGTCGAAATGATCAAGTAGTGGATTTTTCAGCATCAAAACAACTTCTCCTAGTGAATTTTTGAGGTGTGTTTTAATTTGATTGTTTAGGGCCACCCTTATATAAATTTTGTCCTATATGTATACATGTGTCAATGGAGGGTATGCAACAAATACAACGAATGGGCAACAAAAGACAAAAGGCATCGAAATGGTGAAGGGAGAAGCCATGGGTGGATTTTAGTGTTTAAAATGAAGTGAGATGTAATGAAAATGATATGTCTAAAACGAATTCAAATGATAGGTACAAGATGCACCCACTCCTCTATGGAATTAGTAGCACAAGTTCATTGCATTTTGGTGGCATTAGAGTAGGGGACCCATATGCAAGCAAAGCAAAAATGTTATTAATATAAACAACTTGCTTTACCCTTGATTATCAAAGAGTTTTGTTTTAACATAGAAATTACCCAAGAAACAAAAACAATGAATTTAAAGTAACTTGGTGGGATATGTCTAGTCCTCCTATTTGCGCCGTTTCCTTTAAAGCGAGCACAAAATATTCTTCCCTACCCCGTAGCTTTTGTTTTTTTCCTTATGAATAAGTCAGAAGTCTTACATGGATGGAAGGAACAATCTAAATTAAAATAAAATAAGGGTGGGTAGGTATGAGAAAGTCAATCTTAGAATGCAGCTGCACCATATGACTCAGTATACAAAGTCAGCGGCGGAAATCTTCCGCATTGAGGGCAGGGTAGGGCCGGTGCCGGTGGGGTTGTGGTGGTAGCACACCACATCCTAGTCATTATGTTGTAATTTTTATTCCCACCATTAATGCTACCACATTAATAACTTAAAAACGTTATCTCTTAATCTACTTGAAAAAACATGTAGGGGTCTATCTTCTCTATTGAATTAACAAAAAACAAATTTCAAGACAACCTTGGTCCTGACCCAACCCTTGCCTTAGAGCTGAGCCAGGTTGCAAACAAATAAAAAAAAAAAAGAAGAAAAACATAAGTGAAAAGTACAGTCAAGCCGGGACGGGCCAAACCGAGCCGGTCTTGTCCATAGCCCAAGTCATGCCCTACTTTTTTAGGGCGGGATCCACTGGGCCGGTCAGGCTCTTCACCTTCTCCCATAAGGAAGGGGCTCGGGGATGTTTGTTTGTTTTTCCTTCTAACAATACGAGACCATACCTATGATAGAATACCCTACTTGTTTTCCTTTGGAGAGCTCGCAAGAGGAAAGCAAAGCATAAGTCAACCGTCCATACAGCCAGTCTCCTCTTGCCATAATAGTAGTAGTAAGAATACCAATACAATACCTATAGAGATGCTATAAATGCCATGCCCCAATCTCCACACTTCCACCTCTCTCACTCTCTATTCAAATCAGCTAGAGAGAAACAATACTCTCTTTTTAGTTGTTGCATTATTTTTCCTCTCTGATTAGGTGAGAGATAAGAGAGTATTGAGCTTAGAACCAGTTGAGGAGGAGCTTGTGACAATGGCAAGTAGCAGTAAAGTGGCGACGGTTAGGGCAGAAGGGCTTGCATGTGAGAAGGGATATCTCAAAGGAGTCAAGTATCTCTGCGACAATGGGATTACAGGCATTCCCCAAAAATATGTACTCCCTGTTGCAGAGAGGCCTGCTTATAATAGTAGTAGTAGTAATAATAGTAATGACGAGGTTAGAGACATGGTTAGAGCTCCAATCCTGAAACTGCCTACAGTCGACGCTGCCAAATTACAAGGACCTAATCGCAATGAAGTCCTCAAGTCATTGGCAAAAGCATGTGGAGAGCATGGTTTCTTCCAGGTATGGAACACAAACTTTCTATCCCTATTTCTTCAATAATAGGATTTGAAGTTGGGTTGCAGGGTCTATCCCTTCATGAAATCAAACGGAAGTGATTGATGAATGCAGGTCATAAATCATGGAATCCCTTCGAAGGTGTTGGAGGGGATGATGAAGGCGGCTAAGGGTTTCTTTGAACTCCCTTACGAGGAGAGATCAAGGTTCATGGGGGAAGATATGACGGCCCCGGTGCGATACGGGACCAGCTACAACCAAAACAATGATGGGGTCTTTTGTTGGAGAGATTTCTTGAAGCTTTATTGCACCCCTCTTTCTCAAACCCTTCCCCTCTGGCCATCCGACTTGAGGTACAACTACACTATCTACACCTCCTATTCAAATTGAAATCCTCCATTTCTCATTTCTAAACTCTGGGCTAAAAAAAAATTTTCTTTGTTTCTATTTTCTTATGAGCATTTAATTCTTGTATCTGCACTCTATTTTCTCTGTCCCTGTGATAATGCGCAGAGAGCCAGAGAAAACTATTATCTTTCATTAACAGAGAAGGATATAAATATATAATATGTGACAAATTACACATATCCAAAAACTTCCTGAAGGGTTGTAGGGGAGGAGTATGCGAGAGAAACAAAGGCACTTTTCTTCATGTTGATGGAGGCAGTGATGGAGAGCCTAGGAATCATCCCTTTGCAAGATGAGGGGTTGTTGAAGGAGATGAAGGAAGGGAGCCAGATGCTTGTCCTCAACTGCTTCCCAACTTGTCCTGAGCCTGAGCTCACCCTTGGAATGCTCCCCCACTCCGACTACGGCTTCCTCACTCTCCTCCTTCAGGATGAAGTCGAGGGGTTGCAAGTGCAACTGAAAACCGGCGACTGGTTCACCCTTCCAACCCTCTCCGACTCCTTCGTTATCAATGTTGGGGATCATCTCGAGGTAACTACTTTCTTCTTACATACGATAATACAACATTTTTACCTCATCTCAAGGTTGATAATGCATTCTCATGCTGCCAACACAGATATTCAGTAATGGCAAATACAAGAGTGTGTTGCACCGAGTACTGGCAAACCGCTCCAAGACTCGGATATCTGTGGCATCCCTCCATAGCCTGCCCTTCGAAACTGTGATTGGACCGGCACCACAGCTCATCGACCAATGCCACCCACCACTATATGCCAACACCGATTTTGCTTCCTTTCTCCACTACATCTCTTCTACTCGCCACCACCCCAAGAGCTTCCTAGAGTCCAGGAAGTTGAAATTGGATACATAACATGAAGATGGATATCCGTCTTATTTTCTCCATATCTTTCTCTGCCTTTCTTTTGTTTTTTGGGTAGTTTATTGGGAAAGACTCCCCCTACGGTTTTTTCAAGTAGATTAGTTGTTAGCTTTTTGAAGTTATTAATGTGGGACGGTATTAGTGGTGGAAATGAAAACCACAACGTGGTGCCTAGAGTGCGGGGTGCTACCACCATGACTCAAGCCCCTTTCGAGAGCATCTTGTTCCTACTTTTCCCAATCGGCTTTATGATGAGAAAATCAAATATATATTATTATTATACAAGGACAACCCTCTCTCTCTCTGTATTTTATGTATTTTTTTTTAAAACTTTTTTTGAAATTGGGTTGCACCCAAAGTTTTAGGGCAATCCCTAGTAGGTCTAAGGATGCTATCCTCGGATCGCCCATGTTCTCACATAGGAATAAAGAAATGGGCGGTTTGAAAATAGAAACCTCACACCGCTTCCTAGATTGAGCAGAGCTCAGTTCTAGAGGGGTCCGACATTCCCATCCTCGGATTGCCCATATTCTCATTTAGGAATGAAGAAAAGGGCAATCTTAGGTTTGGAACCTCGGACTACTCCCTGGTCTGATCAGAACTCAATTCTGGAGTGGTCCAAAGTTCCCATCCTTGGACCGCCCAAATTCTTATTTGGCAATGAATACAAGGGTTGTCTGAGGATAGAAACGTCAGATCTCCATGGACCGCCTAGGCATTGCCCTACAACTTGGGGCATGACCCAATTTCAAAAAAAGTCAAAAAAAAATTTTAAAAAAAGTGGTGTGAGGTTGCCAAGGGAAAATTTTAAAAAAATAAAAAAATAAGGGTCGGCAAACCTTCCATGTAATTTTCACCCAAAATTGCCCCATTTTATATTTTTCAATTTTTTTTGGTTTCCATCTATAAAGTACTCTAAGTTTTATATTTATATTTTGAACAATTGTTTCATCCGGGCTGGACCACACTTCTTATGCATTCCAGAGATATAAAGCATCAATCTTTAAGACGAACGCAAATAGGTGGTCCATCTAAAAATAATTGTAAATAACGGTTCAATTTTTTTTTTTTCATATCGTGCTAAAGACTATATATTCTATAAAACGTAGGACTAAATTTTCTTTAAAAATTATTTTTATTTCAAAGCCCGCATTTCTACAATGCGAGGGCTGGCCGCATGCTAACCGCGTCCTTATATTTTATTCTCCCACTAATATAAGATGGAGAGGTGAGGAACAATAAGAGAGAGAAAAAGGTTAAGTTTTAAGATTTTGAAAAATAGAGAGTAGAGTAGTGAGAATTAGGAGTTACGCCCATCGGAAAATAGAGAGCAAACGTTTAAGAAAATTGAGAGAAAGGTGACCGAAATTGTTTTGGAAGGGAGCATGATCAGTAATTTATAATTTTAAACATATCTTTGAGCGTGCAATTAAGAGATTCAAAAAAGGTGTTTTGATTTAGCTGTATCCTGAGAGTGTTCTGGCCGTTATTGTTTGCATCTCAATTTCTACCGAGTTGAGGGCATTAAATACTTAGAAAAAAACAAACTCTTTTTTACTTCCAAATCCTGGACTATTTTATCTCTCTATAACTTCCGCAACCTAATCTAATTCCTATAACAATTTAATTGGACTAAGAGTGTTTTGTTGCGAGATATTAGTTTCGAAACCTGATCTAATTCAATTGAACTAAAACTAGGAGTTCTCTGAAAATACCTAACTGAACTGTTCCCGGTTATGCGGACGTGCTGCCAAATTTTTCTGGACAAGATTAAGTGAAACCAACAAATACTATCGGATTAGAGAAAATATATGGTAGTGAAGATCTCTCAAGAGGGAGAAATCAAGGTTTTCAATGCCAACCGTCCTTCACTATTAAATAAACTGAAAAACAATGAAAAGACATGAAAAAGGATGAAGAGAAGAAAACATGCCTCTTTAAACTGAAACCAATATAATGCCTTCTAGTTATCCTGTATGGATCAAGCTGGACAATTCCCACCTATTCATCATTGATCAATTCTTTATTTCATTTCGTATAATTTCCCCATTTAAACTAATTTTTTCATCTACTTGAAGCTTATCCTACTTTCCCCATCATGCCTTCAACAGAGCAATTCCGTCTCTCAATACATCTTTGTTTATCTCCTCTCTCTTATTTACCTCGATGATTAGGAAGGCACAATAAATTCTATTGAAAAAAAAAAAAAGAAGAAAAAAAAAGAAAAAAAAAGAGAAAAAAAAAAGAAAACAAAAGAGAGTGAAATCTTCTTGAATTTTAGATGTTAGAAAGAATTTTACCCGAGTAGAAATAGTTTGCTGAAGATGAAAACAAGTTGATTCGGAACACATGTGATGGAGGTGCAGTATGCAGCCGCAAAATTGATGTTTTCAGAGGAAAAGAGTCCTGGCTTAATTGGTTAGGGCCTGACGATTTACAACGCTACGACCTAGGCTCAATTCGTGTAAAAGAATGGGCCCTCTCCCCAGTGACTCACCCCCAAAAAAAAAATTTGCTAGTTTCAAAGTACATTAAAGATGCTATTTCAATACAATATGGCAAATTGTTTCATGAGGGCTTGACCGCATGCGGTTTTAAGGTATGAGGCATCCATCTAAAAACAATTGAATCTAACGGTCAAAATATTTTTAAAGAAAATTATTATTTTTAATTATAAAAATTTATTTAATTTTTCATATTCATGCTCTCCAAGTTCGATATTATATGACCTTAAAAAATGAAGTCCAAAAATCCATTTCAAAATTAGATTTTTAGGAGGTGACTCATTTCTACATGGACTCATAGAAATCGTGTCCATATAATATTTATCCTCTACCGATATATACAAGATTTCATGGCATTTGTGTCGATGGCATATAGAAGTAAACTATCTCGCCTGCTCCAATGCAAAGAATAAAGCAAATCTATAAACCACCATAATTGCATTTCACGTTCGAGACATAACAAGTATTGTTACTATTACGATAACATTTTTTAAATGGGCAAGCTTTTTATGCCCCAATCACAATGTCTCTTCTTTGCATTGTATTTTAAATTTTTTTTTATAAAATATTTTGATACCAAATTTTGAGAGTCCAATTCTCTATTTAACTCTCACTTCTAAAAAATACACAAACAATATTCTCAATAAAAAAAAATGACTAAAATACTTTGAAATGTTTTGAGAGGTATTTTGGTCATTATATTTTATCAAAAAAATATTTTTAATATTTTTTTAAGGTACACCCCAATGAGAAGATGACAAATACCAAATTCATATTCATAAAATTTGTATAAAAATAATTAAAAATAAATACTATGAGGCGTCGGATCTAAGATCAAAAGGTGCGTAGCTCACTATATCAAAACTGAACGGCTGGATGGTAGAGGAAGCTTAGATTTTCTATACCGTAGAAAAAGTTTAGAAACCTTTCCCTTTTAAAATAAGAGATTCGTATTCTAGATATAGAGATTCCAAATGCCCTTTCAGAACATGACAATGCAATTGTAATGTGACTACTTGCGTTCTAAACAGTCACGTTCGTTCATATGGGATCCAATATATCTAACGCCACGGCAAAACAATGGTTTTAAATTTCGCACCCTACCCAATCACAAGTATGACTCCCAACAGACCCAGCCCGGCCAGGCCCGGCAAGGTTCATGCCTGGCTTGGAAATTTACTGTTCAGGCATGGCCTGAATCCTGATAAGGACTTTGTTGGGTGGAGCCTAACCCTGAACCGTCCCATTAGAACCTTCCTCTTTTTTTTTTTGGTCTCGCTGTTCAAGTTTTTCTTGATGTAAGAAAAAAAATATGCTAAAATACTTTTTACAAACTTTTTGTGAGTTTTTAGAGAAAGGAAGAGAGATTAGGTTTCTTGAGAGAGATAAAGCGAGATTGGATTTCTAGAGAGAGATAAAAAAAATAGATTAGATTTTTAGAGAGAGAAAAAAAGATTGGCGTTCTAAGGAGATTTCTAGAGAGAGAAAGATTGGGTTTCTAGGGAGACAAAGAGATTTTGGTTTTCTAGAGAGAGGAAAAAGAGATATTGGGTTTCTAGAGAGATAAAGTTTTTAGAGAGAAAAAGAGATATTGGGTTTCTAAAGAGAGAATGAGATATTGGGTTTTTAAAGAGAGATTGAATTTTTAAAGAGAATGAGATATTAAGTTTTTATAAAAATAGAGTAGTTTTTTTAGCGAGAAAGAAAAGTTGAGTTTTTAGAGAGAGAATTTGTTTTTAGAGATAAAAAGAGAGATTGAGTTTCCAAAAGAGAAAGAGATGTTGGGTTTCTAGATAGAGAGATTGGATTTTTAGAGAGGGATTGAGATTCTAGAGAGTGAAAGAAAGAGAAATTAGGTTTCTAGAGAGAGAGAAATTGGGTTACTAGAGAGAGAGAGCAAATGGGTTTTAAAGATAAAAGGAGAGGTTAGGTTTATAGAGAGAGAAAGAGATACTAGGTTTTTAGAGAGACAGAGATTGGGTTTTTAGAGAGAGAAAGATATATGTGTTTCTAGAGAGAGAGAGAGAGAATGAGTTTTAGATAGAGATTGGATTTCTAGAGAGAGATAGAATGGCATTTTAGGGAGAGAAATAGCCTTTCGTTTCTAGAGTGAGAATGTGTCTTTAGAGAGATAAGAGAGATTGGGTTTGTAGAAAGAGAGAGGGGGAGAGAGAGAATGAATTTTAAATTTTCTAAAACATATTTTAACATGTATTTTTATTTATTTATTTTTGGCTTACTACAAACAAAAAAAGTTTGAAGAGTAAAGATTAAATAAACATAAAATTGTTAAATGGATTAGGCCAGGCTTAATTTGGGCTAGCCTGAGACATTTTTCGAGCAAGACAGGCCCACTTTGAAAAAATTTTCAGGCTTTTTCGGCCCGGCCCATTAAAGAACAGGTCAATAAGTATTGATCATTACGCGAGCCTAGCCCAACTCAAAACTCGATAATAGCCTGGAATCAAGCTTGTTAGCAGTCGGTAACTAGCCCTGCTCGAAAAACCAGTCCATTAAATAGTCCTAATTACAAGTGTCACCTTTATATTTACACCCAAGTTTAAATGCGTGATAGTAATTGTATGTTTAATTTGGGTTAAATTGAGTAATGGCACTATGAGATCCTCTCACACCTATGTGAATAGAATCCTAAATAATCACCATTAAATTTTG